TACCTACTGCGCCACTGCCTCGCCCCGATTTATTTGTAACAAAAAGAATTAATAATTAAGTAATTATAAACAATTTGTCTTTAAATTAGCAAATAGTTTCCAGCCAAAAAGCACAAGAGTAATTCAACGAGAGCAGCCTTTTTGAAAAGGTAAAGAAGTCCTTGCACTGCCTGCACTGTCATGAAAATCCACAAGAGGGCAAAATACAAGTATCAAATTATATACAACAGGTTTTCAAGCCAAAAATTAATCAGGTTGATATTCAGGTCTTAGAAACTTGTGTGTCAAATATAAAACGTGCAGTTTTTAATGTCGTTTAAATTGTTAGCCATTCATTGACTATGAATTTAAAATGTGAGACTAATGTGAGAACACATTACGTTAATATATCCACTTATAATAAGCTGACAGCTGTCAGTTTGTTTATATCAGGGGTGTCCAAACTCGGTCCTGGAGGGCCGGTGTCCTGCAGATTTTAGCTCCAACTTGCCTCAACACACCTGCAAGGATGTTTCTAGAAAGTCTAGTAAGAGCTTGATTAGCTAGCCCAGGTGTGTCTGATTGGGGTTGAAACTAAACTTTGCAGGACACCGGCTCTCCAGGACCGAGTTTGGACATGCCTGGTTTATATATTTAGCAATATCTTTGTGATCCAAGGGGCAAAAATCTAGCTGTGGAGATTGTTTAGGTTATGCACTTTGAACAGTTTGGTGATTACAGTCATAATCCAGTAGGCATCCTTCCTCTTCTCTTCAGTGACATGCAGTCTAAAGAGTCTTGGTTGTTGTGTGTAACGATTGTGTGACTTCTTGAACACTTTTAAAGCTTCCACACTGTACATGTTTGCTGCATTTATGAAGCGTCCTTGTCTTGAAGTCGGTTCGCCTGATGTGATTTTTCCATGCACTATTTGACTGGACAGGATTAAAAGAACTTTTTATTCTACTTAGACAAATAGACATGATTTAGTGAATGCAGGTTGAAGAAAATAGAAGAGTAGAAGTACTGATACAGCACTTAAAATGTCCTCAAGCGAAAAACAGTAATGTAAGTATATGTAATGTACTCAGAAACTCAAACAACTGACAAGACAGGCAAGTAGAAATTGAGAGCTAAACCAAAACAGAACCCAAATGTGACATATTTTCTACCACTGGTCCTCATATCAATAAGAATCCAATGGCAAGTGAAGAGTGGAGGCTCTGGAGGTGGATGAGGGGCAGTTGTGGGAGAGGGAACAAGCATTGAGGACAGGAGTCCCCAGGGTGGCGAAGATGACAGAAGGAGTCAGATAGAGAGTCAAAGACCAGCCAGGATTGAGGCCTATGGTGGAATCGAGGAAGAAGAAAGCCACAATGGACATCTGATCATTTGGTTTAACCCCACCAGTCCTACGCCACCCAACCCGCTCCTAGCTGGTATCGAACCGGCGACCTTCCCCATGGGAGTCGGTTGCTCTACCAAGGAGGCTAAAGACTAGTAGCTAGTTCTAGCGTCTGTCGCTACAGCACCTTAAGAGGTCAGAGGGTTGAGGTTTACCTGCACAGCACACACTAGCTGGCCTCCGTTACACTCACCACCCTAAACCTCACTCCCATCTGGGTCATGGCACCAATGTAACCCCACCAGTCCTACACCACCCAGCCTGCTCCGAGCTGGTATCGAAGGAGGCTAAAGACCATGGCCTCCAACGTTAGTCGCTAGGGCACCTTTAGAGGTCAGAGGAGTGAGGTTTACCTGCACAGCACACACTAGCTGGCCTCCGTTACACTGGCACCACTGATGGAGGCATAGATGATGGAAATGGAGTCTAAAGTGCAGATGGAGAATCAATGATGTAGGGTGACGCTGCAAGTCCCAAGATCCTAGACAGATTTGACGCCTCATGGGTCTCATGGGCTGTGAAAAACCGTGTTGGAAGATGGAAGATGCAAATATTTGTTACCATACCAAGTGTATGGGCTAACTTGGTTGACATGATGGTTGCTGGTCTCCTTTCCTGTAAACTGCCAAAGACACAATGTTAGCATTAGCTCCTATGCTGTGTTCACACCAAATGTTAACTTACGTACAAAAGTCAGTGAAATAGCCCGTTTCCACTAAGTGGTATGATACGGTTCGGTACGCTTTTATGGCCGCTTCCCCTGGCAAAAGGTAACAAAAAACAAACCGTTCTGTACCACTTTTTGGGTACTTTTTGCAAAGGCTACCTAGCACAACAAAAGGCGGAGCTATAGATGCGCAGCTAAACGCTATCCGCTTGTTAAGTGTGACGTCACGCGAAGTGGCTTCCGGGTCCAAGTGCTCTATTCAACTGTATGGGTAGACTCGTGAAATGATAATAATAAACGTTTACAAAGCGATTTAATTTAACTTAATTTAATTTAATTTAATTTAACAGTTCAAAAATGAGGCAGATTCATTCCTGTTATTAAGAATATTATTGTCAGCCACTTTAAACATTATAAATAGTTTGAACATTAACACTGTACTGTGCCTGTATGTAAAAAAAAGTAAATAAAAAATAAGAACGTCAACATTTAAATTAAAATGCATTTTTACAAATTAAAAACAAAAAGTTACTGTTTTTAAAAAGTAAAAAAAAAAACTGCTGTACTTAAATGTAAAGTATTAACATATAGTAGCCTATTTATCAGAACCTGTAAATATAGGCTATATGTCATCATATTCATATATAAATCATTTTTAAATGTGAGTTACAGTAGGCAATTTCACACTATTATTGATCTGCAGTTATTTTCATGTCCATAGAAAGGTTAGTTTATGGGTTTGTTATAGATAAGTTATGCATTTTTAAACTATTATTTATGTGTATAAAGCATCTGTTTTGTGAGAAGTGCTTATCATATGATAAGTAAACGACCCGTATAGCTTTACTTTGACATTTCCTTGAGCGAGAAGGACGTCGACTGAAACTTTCTGTCGTACACCACGCCCACCAATACCATTGTTACCCTTTTGGCAGGGGAAACGCAAGCCTGATAAAGGTGACCTGTACTGTACCACTCAGGGGAAACGGGCCATGAATGCGCAAAAAGAGGTAAAGTTTTGTCAGGTGGTGCAAAAGATGTGAATTTGCCAGGAATGCGCAGTATTTGTCACAATTGCATCTACCATGAAAGATACAAAAAAAAAACTACGTAATCAGCCTGATCTCATGAGGAAACATAACTATTTTACGTTTTGTTAATTTAGTGGCTAACCAAACCCCATCCCCAAACCCAAATCTCATTGAGGGATGAACAAATCATACTAATATGTATGAATCAGATCGTTGTAATTCATGCGAATTAGCTAGTAAATCAAAGAGTTACAAAGTTATGAAGTGTCTTCGTCAGATTGGGTGTGAACCCATCATTATGCTTTTTGGCTGAAGGCTGAAGACTTGCCTTCCTTTGTGTCTTTACCAAAATGAAAGATGGGATGGAAGTCCACACTGGAGCAAAAGGGATGGAGGGGACCAGGTAAAGCCAAAGAAGTGAAATCCCATGGTGGAGGCAGGTCAACATCTGATCAACAAGGAGCTGTAAGAATGAGGGAGCCTGATGGAGCCAATGGGATGACGGGCTATGGTGGAGATGAGGGAGCACATGGCTAGGACAGATTCAACGGGTTGGAGGTCTAAAATGGTGCCTGGGCTATAGAGGCTTAGACAAGAGATCCTCATGCCAACACAGAGCTGGGAAGTGCAAGGCCTGAGAGAAATACACACATTGTGATCCAGCAGACTGAGGATGAAGACAAGTGCAAGGGAGGGACTAAGCCAATGAAGGCGGAGCCGATAAAACAGGCTGACTTTAAACGAGAAGGCAGTGGAGGGGTGGCTGGGTGGAACCGCAAAGAGATTCAGGACTGGACAGAACCGGCAGAAATTCTGGAGATATAAGGCTATACAAAACCAGTAACGGGAAGAAATACAGGTAGAGTTTCTTTCATAGCATCAGGATATAATGTAGTGGCAAGATTTTTTTTTTTACCAGAATTATGAATTATACTCACTCACCTGATCCGGTCACCTCTTTTGGGCTCCAATGAGAGGGTCAGCCCTTCATGCTGGCATTATAATTGTTGTGGCTTGATGGCTTTGGATTTGGAGTGGGCCTGGCGATGTCCTCCTTGGAGGGTCGGACAGTAAAAGTCCATTGACCTCCATCACCACTCCCTAAATGTGACAAAATTCCCTTGAGGACTGATTATGGGCTTGCTTGCATAGTGGTTCATCAGATTAGCCAGTTCTCTAATGTCTCTCATTTGGTCTTTAAGGGAGCGATCTTTTTGCAGAGTATTTGGATTGTTGGTAACTCCATTCAACAAAAAGAAAGGAATATTAAGGTTAAGATTCGGTCTGCTGTCATGTTTCTGTCAAGTTAAAACACATACAAATAGTGCAAAATGTGTTTACCGAACAGCGAAAATATTTAAGACAGGAAATTAGGGGCTTCAATACAGAAATTTTGATGTAGAGTTTCATTTTCATTTTATACTGAAAATGTCAATGTTTATAAATATTAAAGTAGAAATTGTTATTATAAAAAATATTTACAGGGAAAGAGGGCTATTAAAAAGAAATTATGAACTGGTTAGTTTGAATGTAGGCTATTTAGGATTTCAATATATGAAGAATATTATTTATTCAAAATAATTAAAATTGTTTTAAATGCAAATTTCTAGTTTAATTTAAGTTCAAGTGTTTTTTGCTAAAAACAGCTGTATTAAAAATGGCATAATTGTATAGGTGCACATTTATCTTTTATTGATAATAATACTAAACATTTTCACGTAATTAGCTAAACTGATGTTACTGCGAGTTTTTATTTATTTATTTATTTTAGAATTTGGGGTTGAAACAGTACATGATAAAAAAAACAAAACAAAACTCATTGCTCATGACGAGTGTGTTCATCTCCTGTACCCTGATCTTATCTTAGCGCAGATATTTATCAGACAAGAATTCATTTATGAGACGAGTCTTCACTTACCCGTGCAGAAAGACGGACTGTGACTCGGGGAAGTGGTTTCCGGGCGGTGGGGTGAACAGGACCTGGCTGTAGTCGTGACTGTACTCTTCATTATAAGGCACCGGGTTTCTCTTGCCGTTCATCGCCCAGAAAAGTCCTAATATGAGCATGACCGCCCCGAGCACCACGCAGCACATGCTGAACGCCTGCAGGCGACTTTGGTTAGAAGTTAGAAACGCGGTGGAGCCACCGGTGACTATCAAAAATACTCCAATGAAAATAGCGCCATGGTGTAACGAAGGCATACTGTAAGTTCATATCATTGATCTATCTGGAAAGTTCCTTCGGCATCGCTCTGCTTCACGATGACATTAAGATTCCAGGGCGAATCAAGTTCCTCAAACGGAGATGCATTGGTTCACTTCTTGAGGAAATTGCAAATTCTGTGCGCATTATATGACTGCGAATACATATTATTCTTTCTTAAGTCTTGGTTCAGGCAATTGCAGTAAAAAAGAGACGAACATAAAGTGCGTTACAGAGATGTAACACCGGCTGCGCTCGGTCGAGTTGCTGTTTACGCGCATCAGGTTCAGTCCGCGCGCTCGAGTGAGCGCAGCTGCTTTGCTGTCAAACTCCTCTGTCATTTCAAGAGCATCATTAGAGTTCATGCCCCACCCAAGATCCGTCTGTAGGCCAGATGCTTACTGGCATAATTTATGATTCCCAAGAAAACATGTATCTGCAATTTCTTTAAAACATAGCTTTTTCACATGAATGTATTAAGTTAAAAAGAAAATACAGATGACAAAACATTTCACAAGTTAACCCTTCACTAAAATAAATCTGGGTTATTTCAACCCAATCCTAAGTGTAATATAGACTACCGACTGCTCGGTTATTTTATTATTTTATTAAATTTATAGGACCAGTTTTAACCTAATGTTTTGGTTTGTCAATATTTTACCCATTTTTGGTTGAAACAATCCCGCATTTTTGTGTTTATGGGATGCAAAGTCATGACGTCAAAATAAAAAAAGAAAGTGACACATGCCCAAACATTTTAAGTTTTTTTATTTACAATAATGATTTTATTAATTATTCATTCATTCATTCATTTTCTTTTCAGCTTAGTCCCTTTATTAATCTAGGGTCACCACAGCAGAATGAACCGCCAACTTATCCAGCATATGTTTTAACACAGCAAATGCCTTTCCAGCTGCAACCCATCTCTGGGAAACATCCATACACACTCATTCACTACGGACAATTTAGCTTACTCAATTCACCTATACCGCATGTCTTTGGACTGGGGGACACAGTCCTGAGCACCCGGAGGAAACCCACGCGAACGCAGAAAGAACATGCAAACTCCACACAGAAACGCCAACTGACACAGCCGAGGCTCCAACCAGCGACCTTCTTGCTGTGAGGCGACAGCACTACCTACTGTGCCACTAAATCACCATTTTATTAATTAGATGAACCTAATTTAACTGTAGGCTATAAGGTTTAATAAATAAACACATAAAAAAAGCAAATAACAAAAATGTTGACAAAAAATTAAGAATTAAGTAATAAATACTAAATTCTTCAACATGATTAAAATAAATAAAATATCCACAATTAGATTTAGATATTATTCAAATGAATAAAAAAAATATTTAAATACAATAATAACTAATATTGATAACATTGCACTTTATGTTTTTACTGTTATTCCCTTCAATATTTTACCAAAGTTACATCATGAGCTGACTGTATTTTTTATTATATACTATACAAATAATGGGTGACGCGGTGGCGCAGTAGGTAGTGCTGTCGCCTCACAGCAAGAAGGTCGCTGGGTCACTGGTTCGAGCCTCGGTCAGTTGGCGTTTCTGTGAGGAGTTTGCATGTTCTCCCTCCATTCGCGTGGGTTTCCTCGGGGTGCTCCGGTTTCCTCCACAGTCCAAAGACATCCGGTACAGGTGAATAAGGTAGGCTAAATTGTCCGTAGTGTATGAGTGTGTGTGTGAATGTGAGTGTGTGGATGTTTCCCAGAGATGGGTTGCGGCTGGAAGGTCATTCGCTGCGTAAAAGTGTGCTGGATAAGTTGGCGGTTCATTCCGAAGTGGCGACCCCGGATTAATAAAGGGACTAAACCGAAAAGAAAATAAGTGAATGAATGAATAAACAAGTAATGCAGAATAGGCACATAATCAGGGGCGGATTTAGTGAATTGGGGAGGCCTAAGCAATTCCAGTCAGCCCAAAAGTCTTAATTTGCACCCTATGTATGCATGTATTTTTATTTGTTTGTTTGTTTATTTGTTTGGTTTGAGGACTTTATTTTATATAACTCAATCTTCCTTTCTACATTTGTTCTTAAAAAAGACCCTGAAAACAACTAAAAATAATAAATTGTTTCATTTTTAAAACTAAATGTAATCTGATTTGGAAGAATCTAAATTAGATTAAGTTCATCTAAATTTGCGCAAGCTTAATGATACACTTTTATTTATTAGACCCTTGACTTTACCAAATATGAGAGAAAACAATGTTTTATATAGGATTTATAGATATAATTTTTACTTACACGTATTTATTGGGGCCCCCAAATTTCCTGGGGCCCTAGGCGGCCGCTTACCTCGCTTATTGGTTAAATCCTCCCCTGCACATATTGGTTAAATCCTCCCCTGCACATTTTAAAATTAATAATAAATATTTGATTAAAATAAACAAATGTCTAATTAAATAGGCTATATACAATATACTGCAATTTTTAATAGAAATTAAATATTCTCCATTAAATATTCTCAATTTTGTGTTTAAAAGACATCAAGACATCCGTACTGTCTTTTTGTCAGTTGCCTATTTTTCACTGTCAGCCCAAATTTTAAATATTGCTTGGTTGGTTTTTAGACAATGCTATACATTTTAGGATCCATAAAAAAATGTCACTTGCACCTTATTGTTGCATCTGTGGCATCAAAAATATTGAAAACTGCTACCTTGATGCTCAATAAAAATAATTGCATGTCAGAATCTTAAGCATAAATCTTAATCAGTTTGCAAGCAATTTTGTTATAGTCAAATAAAATGTTTTAGAAAATGTAGGCTAACCATAAACTAATAGGCTACTTTAATTAAGCCTACTCATAACCATCTGTTATGACAGATAAAACTGTCTTTCCATTTGAAACTTTGGAAAGTATTCCCTATCACTATTTAGTATTATGATAATCCTTAAATCTGACTCGTGCCTTTAATAACCATAGATAATAACTGCCTATACAGCAATCAGCAGTCGCCTCATTTCTCAACAGCAGCTTAGTAATTATTTTTTTTTAAATAAACTTTTATTTAGAAAAGAAGAAATGTACAATATAAATCAGGAAATAATCTGTAGGTGACTGGAACAAGTATATACAATTACAAAGTGATAACAATAAGTAAAAGAAAGAGAAAAAAAGAGAACAAAAAAAGGAAAAGTACAAAATTAAATAAAAAAAATACAAAAAGCATTAAAGACTAACCTACCAGAAGCATGATATTTTCATAAGTTTTTATTAACTTGCAGAATTTTTTAGTTGTTCGATAAATATACAGTATAGCTTTAAGCAAGGAATCATTTTTATTTCAAAAATGGGCAAAGGAGGGATAGGATTTAAGAAATTTTTGTTTGCCAATAAAAGATTTTGCATATAATATGAATAAGTTAAATATATATTCTTCAATTTTATTATTGGGACTAGAATAATAAATAATATATTTCAATTTAAAGATTTGTTTTGTTGATTGTGATTTATTTAAATAATTATATAAATCTGACCAAAACTTTTGTAAGATTTTACATGTAAAAACATGTGAGTTAAAGTTTCCTCATTATCCAGACAGAAAGAACAAGTATCTGCTATATCAGTAAATTTTAACAGCAGCATAGTAATGAACATCGCACTGTCAATGGTGTGACGGTGTTCCTTTCTTGTGATTGGCCGATGAGACTCCACGCAGCCACTGGCGTCATCTGATTTGACGTCCTACCGACCAATCAGCGCACGCAGGGGGCGGTGCCTTGACCACCTGGGCATGTTTCTAAACACCACGCAAATGATAGATGTCAAATCGTACGCGTGCAAGCGGGGAAACTGTGCTCAAGGGAAACGAGGAGACGCATGAAATAACTGTTTATTAAGCTTCATGCGTTTTTAAAGTGCTTGCAAATTCAAAACGTCGTCGGCATGGATCCGTTATTGTATTTGGGAGGGTTAGCTGTGTTGTTTTTGATATGGATCAAAGTGAAAGGCTTGGAGTACGTGATTATACACCAGAGATGGATCTTCGTGTGCCTGTTTCTCCTGCCCTTGTCCGTCGTGTTTGATGTGTACTATCACCTGCGCGCCTGGATCATCTTCAAGATGTGCTCCGCGCCCAAACAGCACGACCAGCGGGTCAGAGACATTCAGAGACAGGTAAAGTTAAAAGCACCAAACCTGCAGCGTGGACGACCCTTGTTACTTAATGATAGACAACTTTTACTGAATATGGCATGCGAATATACTTTAATATTGGACTCAAAGGAATTTATGACAGTTTTATGTAGTAGGTATATTAATATGATTATAATATTATGAATATGCATGTACAGTCTATTTGAGAATTGTTTAGAGTTTTTAAAAGAAATGCTGTTTTAAAAAAATGTTAATAAATGTTATTTCTGTGGCAGTTACGTTGTGGTACAGGTAGGGGCGTGACAAAGTTGTATGGACACGCCCCTTACTTTTTTATTGATTAACAGGAAAGTACAGAGTTATACATAAAACAGTATATAAGGGAATTAACAACAGAAATTAATCATGCACATTAAGTATATTATTCAGCAGTGGGGATGCTTTAAGAGCTTTGAGATTACTCTATATGGAAGTCATACAAATGTTTAGATCAATGAAAAATAGTTTACAATTTAGTACAATCAGCTTACATTTTGTGTTGTGGATGTTATACTTTCCTAATAAAATAAGAATGTTTGTTATTTTGCTTGTTTCCAGTAATCCAGATTTGAAATCCATAAATAAAACCATTTTATCTGTTATATTGATAAATCCATAATTCGATCATTTTTATTTTATTTTCGGCTTAGTCCTTTTATTAACTAAGGGTCGCCACAGCGGAATGAACCGCCAACTTATCCAGCATATGTTATACGCAGCGGATGCCCTTCCAGCTGCAACACTGGGAAACACCCATACACTCTCACATTCACACACATACACTAAGGGGAATTCAACTTATTCCATTTACCAATTCCATGATGCCTAAATTTATATTACACTTCAAAAAGTAGTAAGGAAACTTGGCACCAAAACCATTTTGTGTAACTGCAATTGAAAAATAAATGAAGAATTGTTTCCGGCCCAATTTTACAAAAACAACACAAGGGTGAAAAAACTTTCTTAAACTTACTAATAAAATCATTGCAGGGATAATATCTATGTAATATTTTAAAATCAGTTTATTTTACTTCATAAGGAATTATGTATTTGAAGGGAAGGGAATGCTTGTTTTCATTAACACACCCCCTTACTATTAAACACCCCAACGGGTGCGACAGCGTACATTAAAACACGCCCACATTTAAAGTAGTTCTTCTTCTTTTTATCAAATATTTTTCACCAAAGGATCTAAAAACAGTTTATAAGTCTTCGTTAAAGTGTAGTGATAACTTTGGAAACTTTAAGTGAAATGAGTGTATGAAAACTTAACTAAAAGGCAAAGATACCAGATTATAGCTTACTTATCCATAAAGAGATAGTTCACCCAAAAATTTAATTATTCAGAATGCTGGTAAATAACAGCCATTGACTTTTTTTATAGTTTTTTTTTCTTTTTTAATAAAGGGACTAAGCCGACAAGAAAAAGAATGAATTATGAGAAAATATATTTAAAAATTTTAATGAGTAACTTATTTTCAATCTATAACTTTTACTTTGTAAAGCTTCATGAAATTGTAGTTAATCCGTCATTAAAGGGATAGTTCACCTAATATTTTAAATTCTGTTACTTTTATCAGTGTTGGGTAAGTAACTTTAAAAAAAGTACTAGATTCCAAATTACTGATTACTGCTGGAAAATTGTAATTTGATTATATTACTGAATACTTCATGTAAAAAGTAATCAGATTACTAATTACTTGACTTTGAAGTTACTTTTAAAACATATAAAGTACACCTATAAAAATAGAAAATAAACTGCAGCTCTTTCAGTAATTTAATATTCACTGAAAAACGTTACAATGGGTTGATCACAGCAACCTGACATATTCAAAAGACTTAAAGCAGGGGTGTTCCCGGAGATCTACCTTCCTGCAGAGTTTAGCTCCTACCCTGATCAAACTCACCTCAACCAATTAATTAGGACCTGAACACCATTTGATAATTACAGGCAAGTGTGTTTGATATGGGTTGCAACTGAAATTTGCAGGAAGGTAGATCTCCAGGAACAGCGTTGGCCACCCCAGACTTCACCCAGAGTTCACCCAAAATTCTCATTATTCACTTTTTTTCAACCTGTTTTGTCTGTTTTTTTTTAACACAAAAGAAGACATTTATAGGAAAACTGGATACCTATAAACACTGACATCCATAGTATGATAAGCACTGCAGTGTTTGGACTATAATTAGCCTATAGTAAATTAGTTTCAAATAGGCAGTTTTTTTTTCTTCCAAAAACCGTATTTGCAACGCAAGTAATGCAATAACATTGACTTAGTAACTGTAATAAAATTACACAAATTTAAAAAGTATTTCGTTACATTACTACATTCCTCAAAAATGTATTTAGAATACAGTAACGCGTTACCAAGGAACACGTTACACCCAACAATTATTCAACCTCCACAAACCTATCTGAGTTTCTTTCTTCTGTTGAACAGAGGAAATTCTGGAGAATGATATAGAAAATAACAGCCATTGACATCCATGGAACAAAAAAAAACTATAAAAAAGTCAATGGCTGTTATTGAATAGCTGTTATGAACCGCCAACTTATCCAGCAAGTTTTTACGCAGCAGATGCCCTTCCAGCCGCAACCCATCTCTGGGAAACATCCACACACACATTCACACACACACTCATACACTATGGACAATTTAGCCAACCCAATTCGCCTGTACCGCATGTCTTTGGACTGTGGGGGAAACTGGAGCACCCGGAGGAAACCCACTTGAAGGAGAACATGCAAACTCCACACAGAAACGCCAACTGAGCTGAGGTTTGAACCAGCGACCCAGCGACCTTCTTGCTGTGAGGCGACAGCACTACCTACTGCGCCACTGCCTCGCACTATTTTTTCATTATGCTTCTCATTATCATATTTTAAGTTTGTAGCAAAATATTACAAATGTTTAAGCAATTTGAGAATGCATAAAGAGACTAAATCGATCATTTCATTTATGGCGGTGCTTCTTAGAAGTGAGGTGAAGCTAAATATCTTGTTGTGTGCACTTTGTAATTTATACACTGCACTTAATAATTACTGTAATAGTAAATAAATTCATTCATTTTCCTTTGGCTTAGTCTCTATTTCAGAGGTTGCACAGCATATTTAACTATTTTAGCATATGTTTTACACTGCGGATGCCACAACCCAGTGCTGGGAAACACTCATACACACTCATTCACACACGTACTATAAATTTAGTTTATGCAGTTCACCTATTCACCTTATTCTGAGCTGACGAGTGGGCGCTGCCATATGAATCTTTTTGTCTCGCGACTTCCGGTCACATTCACTTCCATTCATTTTTTGACGTTAACAACTGCTCATTACGCTGCTTGATGTTACAGTTTAATATTTTCTTATTATATTATGCTACTTGGTCTGTGTAGTCATGCAAACATTTGTTTGTTGAGCAAGTAGTTTGGCCATTTTCTTCCGTTTATTATTCCTAGTCATTTCTCCCATAGGCGACTGAATCGGAAGTTCTAAGACAATCGCGAAAACAGGCGCACTTCCGCATTTTAGAATAAGGTCAATACCTTATGTCTTTGGACTGTGGGGTTAACCGGAGCACCTGTAGGAAACCCACGCCAACACACAAATGCCTTCTTGCTGTAAGGTGATCTTGCGGCCCTAGTAAATATAAACTGAAATGAAATCATATTAAGGTTCACCAATCAGCCTAAATATGTCAAACTAATGAAAATAGAAAGACAAATTGCACAGTAAATGCTATTTTAATCCGGTAATGACTCATGACTGAGTCAGATTGAATCATGGAAACACACCATTCAATGCAATTCGATTTTAACCAAATGTGGCCATTTCACTTTTCCAGGTGCGAGAATGGAGGAAAGATGGAGGGAAGAAATATATGTGCACGGGACGTCCGGGATGGCTGACTGTGTCCCTCAGAGTGGGAAAATACAAGAAAACTCACAAGAACATCATGATTAACATGATGGACATCCTGGAGGTTGACACAAAACAAAAGGTACCTGTTTCCATATCTGTTTATTTAATAAGTTTGAAAGATTTGGTGTTCAGCAGACTGTGAAAGTGTATGTGGATAAGAGTTATTTTTGACATACTGTATGTGATTGTTAGAGTATTGCAAAGTGTGATGAAATGAACTAATTTTTCAGGTAGTGCGTGTGGAGCCTTTAGCTAACATGGGTCAGGTGACTGCTCTGCTCAACTCTATTGGCTGGACACTGCCGGTGCTGCCAGAACTCGATGACCTCACTGTTGGTAGGTTTTAAAAGAAGAACAGATTTTTCTATTCTTGAAAGGTTAGCACGTCTGCGCAGGAATGCATCCATATAAAATCACAGATCCCAGCCCAGTTTTATATTTCCTCCAAACATAATGTCCAGATCGACTTGATAAGGGAACGTCTCAACTCGCTTCACAGGAAGAAAGTGGCACAGATGATGTGTAAAGCCTGATTTATACTTCTGCGTCAAGTGACCGCGTAACCCACGGCGCATGCAACGCGCGTGGCTGTGCATTTATACTTCTGCGCGCTGTCTCTGTTGGTCTGCATTAACACTTTCGAAACGCTAGTTGGCAGTGAGGTGTAAATCTTCCTCAGTGTCGAGTTTCTTCGCTGCATTTTTGCGTTTCCTGAACACTTCCGGGATGTACAAGTGGCTCAAACTTGCTCATTTTAAGGCAGGAACTGGCGGACGTGCAACAACTTTATCTATGAGGTAAACACAAAACAAAACTTTCCATCCGGAGCTCCTTCACGGGACTCCACACTTGTAAACAATCGCTCGCGCCATTCGCGCGGCTCTCGGTCCCGCCCAGACTCGTCAGCTCTACCAAGCCGACCAATCACAGAGCTTGCGCTACGCGTTGTTGCGACGTGTAGTTACATTTTTTGAGAGGTGCACGTCAGTGACGGCGATGGCCACGGCGAAGGGCTATGCGTCAGCGCCGTAGCATACGCCGGCGTTTGACGCAGAAGTATAAATCAGCCTTAACATTACTGCAGAGCTGTTGTAAGACAAAGAGGATAAGATCACCATCTTTCTATGCACTTTGTGTGGGGCAAGCATTCGTGGTTTTTAGGATCATTCAGAGTTAGTAAATGATTAATAAACTATTGAAATCAAAGTTTATATGTTTTATTATTCAGGCATGAAGATTATTAGTCATTTACCCTCAACCCCCCAAAACCCCCAACTAACTCTGAATGATCCTAAAAACCCTCAACTACTCTTAAATACCAATGGTTTGTAAATAATACGATACTTAATTTAGTAATGAAAAATAAATCATTAATAAAGAATAAAAATACAATTATTAAGCACATTTTAAATATGTTTGTAAGTCAAGAATAGAGCATTTGTAGCTGCAGTCATAAACTGCTTACTAATGCTTATTAATGTAAAGTTAATGCTTCACAGATAATGAATTCACGATATGCCAATGCTTAATAAAGGATTTATAGTGTGTAGTTATTATAAAGTGTTACCAGTTTTTATGTTTATTTTCCTTTTATTAAAAAATGTTTTGGGTGCAATTAAATTTGTTATTTTTTGTATATGTATATATATATATATATATATATATATATATATATATATATATATATATATATATATATATATATATATATATATGAATATGTATATGTATATGTATCAGGGCTGCTCGATTTTGGAAAAAATCATAATCACGATTATTTTGGTCATAATTGTAATCACGATTATTCTAAACGATTATCAGTTGAAGTCAAAATTATTAGCGCTACTGAGAGTTTAGGTTTTTTTTTTAAATTATTTCCCAAATTATGTTAAACAGAGCGAGGAATTTTAACAGTATTTCCTCTGAAATTTTTTTTCTTCTGGAGAAAGTCTTCTTTGTTTTATTTTAGCTAGAATAAAAGCAGCTTTAAATATTTTGAAACCCATTTTAAGGTCAATATTATTAGCCCCCTTAAGCAATATATTTTTTGATTGTCTGCAGAAGAAACTACTGTTATACAATGACTTGTCTAATTACTCTAATTAAGCCTTTGAATCGCACTTTAATCTGAATGCTTGTATTTTAAAAAACATCTAGTAAAATGTTATGTACTGTCACCATAGCATATAAGATAAAACAAATCAGTAATTAGACATGAGATATCAAAACTAGTATGTTCAGAAATAAGTTTAAAAAAAAACTTCTTTTAATTAAACAGAAATTGGAGGAAAAGGGTTGCTAATATTCTGGAGGGCCAATAATTCTGACTTCAACTGTATATATATGTACAGTTATTTTCCACCCTGCAAAGGAAAGATAAATAAATACAATAGAATAAAAATATAAAACAAACTGTGATTTAAGCATCTTCACCCAAAGAAAAACACTTTAGCTTCAAAAATCCTTCAGTCAGGAGCAGTAAGGAATGTTCTTGTCGTTTGATTAGTGCGAAATGCTGCCGCCTGTTTTATCATTGTCACTTTAATGGTTTCTCTTTCAGAGTCTTTTGATTCTAAACTCGTTTGTTTATTACGCAAATGAGGGTTAATATGAATAATCACTAATCACCGTGTTTTGACACCTATTTGACCATTAAAGCGCTCATGTTAAGATTACTTTAGATGTCTGCGCTCCTCTGCTCATCTCAGTGTGCGAATGAGACCGAATACTGACCGCGTGCTTATGCGTGTGCGCGTGTTGCACACACATATTAGCACGCGGTCTTTCGCACTTTTGGTATATGATGCAATAATCGTTTTTCTCGATTAATGGTTTTTCATAATGGTTAGAAGCCATAATCTAAATCGAAATCGGATTTTCGATTAATTGCACAGCCCTAATATATATATTTATAAGTTATAAAAGCACCTTAAGTAAAATGAAAATGACAACTAGCTGAAATAAATAAATGTTTCATACGTTTGATTTCAGTTAATTATTCAGTTCATTACAGTTTATTATATTTTTCAGTTTTAATTTCTTGAATTTTTGTTTGTTTGTCAAAAGAGTTATTTTTTTTTCCAGAAACAACAAACAAAAAGCGCTCAGGGGGTTCATCAAAATAACAACAGAAATCTGCCCAAGGCACTCACTGAGTTATTTTTTGTTTTAGTGTTTGTTCAAAACAACTAACTTTTCACTTTTCACGTTTAAATATGTACTAAATAATTGTAATAATAAACAAATAAAATATTTTATTGCAAATAGAAAGACAAATTAATTTAATAATATACATTTATATAATATTGCAAAATAAAATAAATTTTCAGGGGGAAAAAAGCATGTCACATGCTTTAGGCATCAGCACAAACACACATAAGGGGTTCACATACTTTCCCCCGCATCTTTCAATGGTTCGCCTAATTATACTTGTTTGTTACCAAGTCTCAGATTACAGCAAACTCATATTCACATGTCGTCTAGATCAGTGGTTCTCAAACTGTGGTACGTGTACCACTAGTGGTACGCGGACTTCCTTCTAGTGGTACGCAGAGATATCAAATGTGTCATATGTACTTGCTACATATATTTAAAAATTGATAAAAAATTATTTATATATGAATATGACATATTATTTATTATATGAGATGTAGCCTATATTTCTGAGGTCCAGGCAACATTTCCAGGTGTTGATGAATTGGCTACTATATGTTAATACTTTACATTTAAGTACAGCACTTTTCTTTTTTTACTTTTTAAGAACATCAACCTACCATTTTCAGCTTTTAAAATCACATTTTAATTCAAATGTTGACGTTTTTAGATTTTTGTTTGTTTGTTTGTTTTTTTTTTTTACATATAAACACAGTACAGTTAACATTTAGACTTTTTATAATGTTTAAAATGGCTGACAATAATAAATATTCTTAATAATAGAAATAAATCTGCCACATTTTAGACCTGCAGAGCTGTAGCTGCTTTACTGGGCTTGCTACGCTACTGTATTTCAATACTGCTCATTATGGTGGTACTTGGAGAGGCAATTTTTTTCTGAGGTGGTATTTGATAAAAAAAAGTTTGAGAACAGCTGGTCTAGATGCATCCGAACATTTTCAATTCAGTAACACTTCTCTCCACTTAGATGAGGCCAGTAAGTCATCTCTGACCTTTATCATCTCTCCCTTTTCTTTCCACATGCTCCACGAGGGATTTGTTTAATGTCTCCGAGCACTTGCAGATATTCGCTTTCTTTAAATTGCACATAACGCTCTCTCCTGATCAATATTATATGCTGTGTGTGGTGCATCAGAGGCTGCTCGTAATCGGGTTATGGATGAGCATAGACCCTGTTCAATGAGGCAGATTAGATTAGAGCGGATACGGGTCCTATTGCTGAAAGTGTTTATAGATCCCAGAAACGAAAAAAAGAGCGCTCATTGGTGGAGAAATGCTTTACACAGACTCTCCTTCAAATTCATTTGTAATTCTGTGGAGACGCTGTATTTGGTAATAAGACATGGGGAAGATGTGTTGTGCTTTTGTACTTTGTTGGATGATAGGGAATATATCTGGCCGCATCTATTGATTCACTTGAAACTGAAATCGGCAAATCAAAGCAGTTTTACACAATACTATTTCTAAATCTTAGTGTAGAGCAGTATCTCTGTAATCAAGGATCAGTTATTTGGACTTTTGACCATTGCTCTTTAGTGCTAAGTTTGCTTTTTTCATGAATTTTCTGTCCCATTCCTTTCTTGTTTTAGGATTTAGAGACACATATTTGTTTATTTAGAACTGTTAATTATCTTAAGTAATTTATTTTATCCATGGGCCATGTTGCTGCTTACAGTGGATACCAGTAAGATTTAAAAAAAATCTCACAGGCTGAAGTGAATGATGAAAAACATATATATGAGGATACATGATATTTTAAAAGGAAGTAAATGCAATTTAGTAGTGCTCTAAAAGATGCTGAACTTCCAAGATTATCCCAAATGTGCCTTCAGTGCACTTTCATCTTCAGGTCCATTTTCTGTATTTTAGGAGAAATTGTGTTGGTTGCATTTATCAAGTCAATACGGTTGTAAAGTCACCGTTTTGTCGAGGTTTATTGATTCTTGGTCATTGACAGAGTTGTAAATTGAACAAATAAGTCCCATTTTGAATATTACATTTAGCATGTTAATAACATGACGATTTATTTTATCCAATGAGGTATATGCACATGGACTTTTATTTTTCAATAAGCCAGCTCAAGCGTTTCTGATGAACTGTTTTCCCATTCTACTGGTTTCTTTCAAAATGACCTTTGCTGCCTTATTGAGATACACTTTAAAGTGGCAGGGCTGGAGTGGGACTCCTTTTCAGCCCTGGAGTTTCAAGCATTAGACCGGCCCACTGACCGGTCCACCTGAGTTCACGATCGACTATATTAAAATAGGGTCACTTCCTATTCAATTTCTAATTACACTCACGTCTTTTTCAAGAAAACAGCTGCTTTAGAACTTCAAATGTTCAACAACCTTACAGTTGTGTTGTTGTAAAAAAAATAAATGAGTGAAAAAGAGAGGAGAAGAACCCAGTCCAGGAGACTCGAAACAAGCAGAATTCCTTTATTGAGACGTGTTGGTTAATCTGCAGTCAAACAGCGTCTTTTATTAGATGTCCATGTGTCTGCATGAGCCTACTAGAGGTCTGCAGTCTGCAAGTTCTTTCACGAGTCTCTCACAAGTCTCACACAAGTCTGAATTAAGACAAAGATTTCATGGCTATATTGTGTTCTTAGGAGGAGGGGATATGGCTAAACAAAGCATGCAAATTCAGTATTGGAGTCAGCATGGCATAGGTGTTAAAAAACGGCCCAGCTACTGACCACACAAGTTAATCAACATAGGGTTTCTGTAGCATAAAAGCAACACCCGAAGACAAAGACAGAGTCGTTTAAAGCATTTGCATCACTGGCTTAGCCTGTAGTCAGAGAGATAAAGGTTAAATGTCCCTCCTAGCTGGGATGTTAATGAAATTATATAATTAAAAACCAAAGAATATAACTTTTCAGTTATACGTAGATTATTGTTCATTTGGAATTAGTTGATAGAAATTTATCTTTCCACAGTGTCTTAACAATAAAACTTATATGTCTTAACAATTAAAATGAAGTTCAAGAGTTCACACTTAGCTGACTTACCCCCCCTCCCCCCCCCACTCCTGCTGCGTAAAGGCTGATTTATACTTCTGCGTCAAACACCGGCGTATGCTACGGCGCTGACGCATAGCCCTTCGCCGTGGCCATCGCGGTCACTGACGTGCACCTCTCAAAAAATGTAACTACACGTCGCAACGACGCGTAGCGCAAGCTCTGTGATTGGTCGGCTTGGTAGGGCTGACGAGTCTGGGCGGGACCGAGAGCCGCGCGAATGGTGCGACGCCGCGAGCGATTTTTAGTGTCCTGTGAAGGAGCTCCGGATGAAAAGTTTTGTTCTGTGTTTACCTCATAGTTAAAGTTGTTGCACGTCCGCCAGTTCCTGCCTTAAAATGAGCAAGTTTGAGGCCACTTGTACATCCCGGAAGTGTTCAGGAAAAGCAAAAAAGTAGTGAAGAAACTCGACACAGAGGAACATTTGCACCTCACTGCCCACTAGCGTTTCGGAAGTGTTAATGCAGACCGACAGAGACAGCGCGCAGAAGTATAAATGCACAGCCACGCGCGTTGCATGCGCCGTGGGTTACGCCGGTCACCTGACGCAGAAGTATAAATCAGGCTTAAGGATTGCTAAGGTGGTGTGTTGCTGACAGGATTGAATTTGGTGCTAATTTGGTTTAGTCAATTTACTTAGTCTCATGTTTTTGGGAGTGTGGGAGGAAACCGGAGGACCCGGGGAAAACCCACTCAAGCACGGGGAGAACATGAACTCCGCACGAAAATGCTGACCGGTTGTGTGGATACCCGAGTCTGAGGCATTTTTTGCTGTGAGGCCGCAGTGCTAGCCACTGGGCCGCCGTGCTGCCCTGTATAAAAGAGGAGGAGAAGGGGTGGAAGGGGGGATTCTTCAAAACGAAGATGACTAAAGGTAGGGCGTTTGGTTGTTTATACTGGGTTAAGAATAGCCTGATTGGTGGTTCATTCGTTAGCCTGACTCGGGGCCAGCCGTGTCAATCATAAGCACGTGATCCTCTCGAAATTAGTTTATGAATAAACTTCACAAAAAAATGTAAAAAAAGGTTACCTAGATGAGGATGGAACACGGATCAACGATGTCGTAACGTAACGTGCTGACCACTGGACCACAATGGCACTGTTACGTTTGTGTGGCCGGAATGATAGTTACATCATCATTACCCTGCAGGCTGCATTTTGCTCACGGGCTGCGAGACAATAAATAAGAAGAGCGGAGCTGCGGCAAAATAATGAATAAAAAGAGTGAGGCTATGGTCAAATAAATAAATAAATGAAAAAAAGTGTGACTGCTGAGAGTGCAAGCAGCTAGAAACACCGGTCCTCACGGCCAAAAAAACAGACCGGCTCACCGGGAACTCTCCCGGTCCTCCCAACTGGCCAATCCGGGCCTTTAAAGTGGATCTCAGATCAGACAAGAAGCACTGCATTAAATTTCGTTTCTTTAAAATGTCATGGAAAAAGAAAATACCTAAGTATTTCGTTACGTGTTTAGGATTTTTAAGTGGGATGCTGTAACCTTTAGCTGAGATAGGTGTAATGTGTGCAACAGATCAAGGATGAGGCACAAGTCAATTCTCCTATTTAAGCTTTTTACTCAATAGTTAAAACAATATGTAAAAATAATAAATGGGAAAAAGAAATAAACATTTACAATTATATTTAAACAAAAACAACGAGTGGAAGCTAAATAAATGAAATCAACAAAACAAAACAATCCTTAAATCTAAAGTCTAAACTAGGCGTCAAAAAGAAATACAAATAAAAGCCGAGGTCTTCATGTACATGACACCTGAACTAAACTAATTAAACTACAAAACTTAAAATACACAAGTGTCAAAACACTCAAACTGTCACCGACTCGGTCCCAGTCATTCCCCTCGCTGGCCAGCAGAGATCATCATCACCGGACTTCTAACATTACGTCATCCACTTGCACTGACAGCATGCACACCTGCAGCGCATTCAGTTAATGACCCATGCTCACACATATAAGCAGCACACACACTCCAGCCCATGGCAAAGTCTTGTTCTGCCCCGGCTAACACTACTGAGTGTTTCTCATCCTTGCCTGCTTTCCCGTTGCTTACCTTGCTTTGATTCCGACCTTGTCTTGCCTGCTGCCTGCCTTATACCTCAGCCTGAATACCGACTCTGATCCTTGCCGCCTGCCTTGAACTCTAGCCTGCATACCGACTTTGATATTAGCCGTCTGCCTCTGACCCATGCCTGCATACTCATCCTGTGTTTACCTGCTGCCAGCCCTACAACCATATACTACTGTGTTTGATGTGAGTTCGCACACGCATTACATCTGTGTGCTATTTGTTATTAAACTGTGTTTAATAAAAATACTGCAAATAGATCCCTCTGTGTCAGCCACTTCGTTACACAAACTAATCTAACAAAGCATCAATCTAAACTAAAACAAACCTGATAAGACGGTCAAAGCTTAGTTTAGAATCACACAACCATCACATTATGTTACTTAAAGCCAACGAAGTTCAACAAGCAAACTCGAATTACCACAGTAAACTGAGATAATAAATCGAAAACGTCATAATGATGATGGACAGAATGGTAAACCAATAAGAAAACTAAGGGCTGAGCAAACAGAGAGAAGGGTGAAAAAAAAATAGACAAAGAAAACATCAAACGTAACATTTTTCAATGGAGTTTCTGTGCTCGCCTGCTGCTCTTGATGAACCTTAAACAACCTTTTATCTCATTTTAAGCTTGAACAAATCAATAAATACTCAAGTCTATTTAACTGACTATATTTTAATTGCATTATCAATGCTTATAACAGAATAGGTATTATATTGTGATACATATACAGTATATTACTATCAGGATACGAGATGACTTATATCGTGATATGAGATTTTTGTCATATTGTAAAATATTGCACTGATGACCTTTTGGTAGGAAAAATGCTAAGTGTCATCCGAATAGTAGATCAAATCAGAATATTAGAACGTTAGAAGTAATAATGATGCACTTTTTATCATATACAAATTGAGTATTACAGACTTTTTACAAATACATTATGTCACAGGATCCAGACCTTCAAACGTTAAAGTATACAATATGAAAATTGCATTCAACTTATATTATGCATTCAGTTTTTGACAGAGGTCATCCCCATCTAAAACGTGAAACTGTCTCATGTTGTGTTCAGGCGGGCTGGTGATGGGAACAGGCATTGAGTCTTCATCTCACATCTACGGCCTGTTTCAGCACATCTGTGTGGCCTTTGAGCTGGTGTTGGCTGACGGCAGTCTGGTCCGCTGCACTGAGGTGAGTTCATTATTGCACATTAAATTAAACCATATCACAAAGACATATTAATATTTTTGAAATCAAAACTCTTGCTCGCAGAAAGAAAACTCTGACCTGTTTTATGCCGTTCCCTGGTCCTGCGGGACTCTGGGGTTTCTGGTTGCGGCAGAGATCCGGATAATTCCAGCTCAGAAATGGGTGAAGCTGCACTATGAACCTGTTCGCGGCTTGGATGCAATTTGCAAAAAGTTTGCTGAGGAATCTGCCAATAAGGAGAACCAGTTTGTTGAGGGACTTCAGTACTCTCGGGACGAGGCTGTGATTATGACCGGCGTCATGACGGATCATGCAGAGCCTGACAAGGTGATAATGAGAATTTTACAAAGTGATCTCATTTCATTTTTTTGGTATTTTTCCTATGGCTGTCTTGCTAGTTCATTAGCAAAGCCCACATTTACAGTTTAGCAATTCCAGTGTTATGGATGTTACGTTTGTAGTAAAAACTCAAAACATAAATTGACAGAGGAAGTATATTTTTACGTTATTTTGAAACATCTCTTTATATTCTAATCAACTACCCACAGAGTTGTGGTCATGGATGTTACAAAAAAGTCTGCAAGTTTACAGTATGCAACCTACTTTGTAGAAATTAATTTATTCATTTTCGTGTCGGCTTAGTCACTTTATTAATTAGGGGTCGCTACAGCGGAATGAACCGATCCGCTGTTTTTACGCATGTTTTTACGCAGCGGATGCCCTTCCAGCAGCAATCCATTTTTGGGAAACATCCATACACACTCATTCAAACTCGTACACTACGGACAATTTTAGCCTACCCAATTCACCTGTACCGCATCTCTTTGGACTGTGGGGGAAACTGGAGCACTCGTAGGAAACCCACGCAAACACAGGGAGAACATGCAAGCTCCACACAGAAACGCCAACTGACCGAGCCGAGGCTCGAACCAGCGACCTTCTTGCTGTGAGGCGACAGCACTACCTACTGCGCCACTGCGTCGCCATACTTTGTAGAAATCCTGTGAAATAAACTAAACAACCCAAAAGAAAAGATGCTAATCAAAAGGATAAGAGTTGGCTCACTATAAAACAAACAAGACTGATTTTATTTGATTTGACATTTTTGCTTTTATGATGAAAAAACTTCGTTATGCATGTGACATCTATCTGTTATGGATGCGATGGATGTGAAATGGCCACTTGTGTGACTTTGGTAAATCAAATATAATTGTGTGAAATCATTGACAGAGACATTTTTTTAGTATTTTTAAAGCACTGTAAATACAAGCCTACACAAAAAACAAAGAAACGGTTTCGCTTTTTTTGGCGAAATCTTAATTTTTTCATGGCAAGCTTGACATTTGCATGGAATTGCTCTATTCCATTTTATAAAAAGTATGTTAGCATCAAATATGCTTCTAATATGTAAAAAAAAACATGCAGAAACAATGCTTGCAGTGTGTTCAGTCATGCTAGCAATGTGCTAAAATATCCTAGTAATGCAAAAGCATGCAATGTAAATGATGAAACTGGCTAGCAGTGTGTGTTAAATGTTAGCAAATAAGATAATGACATGTTAATGAGCTAAAACATGCTTTCAGTGCTTTAAAACATGCTAGCAATGTGTCAAACATGTTTGCAGCATGCTATTTACATGGTAGAAACTTGCTAGCAAAAACGTGAACTTGTTATCACTTGGCAACACTTTATAAACCAAGATACCATTCAAACAGCTACCAGCACCCTAACGACCTAATGAAGTGAAAATTCGAGATTTATTTACTGTAAAATAAAATGTAAATGTTATTTAAAATGTTTTTTGGGGTCAGCAGTTTTTTAACAGTGTGCTGAAACGTGTAGTTATAAGCTATATCGTTCTAGTGACATGTTAAAACATACAATACAAGATGAGGAAACATGCTAGAAATGTAATAAAATATGATAAAACTATTTTGCGACATCACAGTGGTGCAGTGGGTAGCGCTGTCGCCTCACAGCAAGAAGGTTGCTGGTTCGAGCCCTGGCTGTGTGGAGTTTGCATGTTCTCTCCGTGTTTGCGTGGGTTTCCTCAGGGTGCTCTGGTTACCCCTACAACTCCCAAGACATGTGGTATAGGTGAATTGGGTAAGCTAAATTGTTTGTAGTGTATGTGTGTGAATGAGTGTGTATGGGTGTTTCCCAGTTATGGGTTGCAGCTGGAAGAGCATCTGCTGTGTAAAACATATGCTGGATAAGTTGGCGGTTCATTCCGCTGTGGCGACCCCTGATTAATAAAGGGACTAAGCCGAATGAACAAATGAATTAAACATTTTTAAACATGCTATAAACTTGTTAGCACTGTGCAAAACATCCTAGCGACATGTTAAAATGCTAGCACATTGCAACCAAAGTCCAGTTCATAATAAATATAGTAAACGAAGCATGTTTATTTTAAAACCATATATGATGAAATGTCATTGTGTAATCGTATTGTTTATTTATTTTTTTCTGTTTGTCCTTCTCTCTGGTTGTCAGACTAACTGTATAGGTTATTATTACAAGCCGTGGTTCTTTCGGCATGTGGAGAGTTTCCTGAAGCAGAACCGCGTTGCAGTGGAGTACATTCCTCTCCGCCACTATTACCACAGACACACCCGCAGCATCTTCTGGGAGTTACAAGTAAATTACTCCGGAAAACTGCACTCAGCAACACAATTACTAAATGATCTGCTTTTCCTATTTGTACATTCTGGTTTTAAAGGGGTCATGGCACGAGGAATCAAATTTCCCTTGATCTTTTGACATATTAGAGGTCTTGGTACCATTACAAGTGTAATGGTTAGCATTAATCATTGAATCATTAGCACCCCCGTTTTTTTTTTTTTTTTTTTTTTTCCTTAATTTCTGTTTAACGGAAAACCTGAGAATATTTTTTCAACACATTTCTAAACATATTAGTTTTAATAACTCATTTCTAATAGCAGATTTATTTTATCTTTGCCATGATGACCGCGTCACCGCAAAAGTTGAGAAGCAGCAGGGTCAACACCATATCCATGCTTGCACATAAAACCTAAGGATGGTCCATATTAAATCTAGTTTAGTTATGTAACTATTTATTGTATAGTAAATATTTATATCTAATTTTTACTGAAGATTTGCACCATGTTTATTTGAACTTTGACGCATTATTTATTATTTTCTTATTCTTTATTTGTTCATTATAAGTGGTGTTGTTTATGGTAACAGAAAATATATTATTTGGAAAATGTCAAACTTGTTTAAGTGTTCCGTTATTTTGTAACAATCTTTCTGTTTAGTTATTTCCCAGAACTTTTGGGCAAATACATTGTCAGTAAATAAATGCACTAGTTATTTTCCCACTGAAAAACGCCTTAGAATAACATTTAAATAAATTGCTATAACTTGCTCAGGAAAAGGTGGATGTAGACAAAATTTATTTTGGAAGTATAAAACATCAAAGCGTTTATTTCTAAAGAAAAAAAACAAACTTCAAAAGGTTTTGTTTGTAATAACTAGAAAATGCCACTTTTTTAAAAACCGTTTTTCTTAAAATTCTGGATATATTTTCTGTCTGTTCATATGTTTTTGGACCAAAAAATATTTTAGACTAGACCTTTAATTGATACAGATTGAAGCTTCAGGTTCTCCTGTTTAAAATAATATATGACACTTGAGGCTTGAGGCCCATTAGGTGCCCACAAAATACCTCTAGGTCTTTAAGGGTTAAATTTGTATTATTATTATTATTATTATTATTATTATTATTATTATTATTTTAGGGGTTTTCACCTTCAATGTTATAGAACAGGGGATATTATAGTCCGGAAAATGTGTGGAGCAGAGATGGTATGGATCAGGATAGGACATCGAGCTGGGAATTGAACTCTGGTCTTTGTGAACACCATAGTGCCATGTGTCGACGCAATTACCACTAGGCTATTGGCACAGACACGTTATTCTATTTAAAACACAAACACTTGAGACACAAACTTTCTCTATGGATTCCATTAGCTTTAGATATTTCACTAGTCCCGTAATGCATAGTTAAAGAGATGACCACTACCCCTCTTTCATCTTAATCAAGTATTTATCTCTCTCTTAATCCTTCTCTCTCCCTCCCCAACATACTCACACACAGTTTTGATGCATTATATCCACTAAAACCTTCCATTAGCTTCAGGAAGCGTGCGTTGACTGTTGATTGGCAGCGCTAGTTTGACATTACTCAATAAATTATGCAGCTAAAGCAGAGATGGACAAGACCAGGAGTGTCTTTGACTTCCAAACACAACTTTTCTGGTCATAAACAATGGTGTGCGCATACAGCACTTACTGTAATAACTCAACATATTGATCACGCAACCCATTTCCTCTCTGTTGTCATCTTATCTTGTTTACCGTTACTTCATCTATCATATATGTATGCAATTTATTTGTTTCTTCCATTACTTGGTGTCTGTTTTTCAGGACATTATTCCATTTGGGAATAACCCGTTGTTCCGGTATGTGTTTGGCTGGATGGTTCCTCCAAAGATCTCTCTGCTAAAGCTTACTCAGGGAGAGACCATCCGCAAACTGTACGAGCAGCACCATGTGGTGCAGGACATGCTGGTCCCCATGAAGGACATCAAGGCTGCCATCCAGCGTTTCCATGAGGACATTCATGTAAGTAAACCAGACATGGGCTGTTTTCTGCGTTCTTGTTGAGACCAGTCTTGCCGGTCTTAAAGAACGAACTCTGGAGACAACGAGAACAGAGAATGCGTCCTCTGAGAAATGAGATACTGCAATCTTACCACTGGTCACATGACCTATATGCGTTTTTTTAAAGAAAAATTATTTAAACATTACAGCATTCTTACGATTTATTGTTTTACCCCTTTTCGAAATATATACTCTGCATAAAACATTACAAATATACATTGCACAATATAAATAAAAACAGATCTTAATGCGAATTTCAGCAAACAAACACCCTGACTGTGTTTATTCCTTATTAAGATGTCCATGGTAATGTTTACTTTCACTGTTTCATTTAGGGAAACTCCTGAGGTAAATAAGTCATATCTCTGAACTTCAAAGGGTCACGAAACACCAAAACACATATTTTGAGCTCTTGACAGTCGTTTATGTGTCCCACACTGCTAAAAACACTATTAGGACACCTATATTTCACTAAAAAGTGTAAATTGGTTGTTTTTGCGTTATTTCAAGCAAATTTGTACTTCCAGTTTGAAACGAATATTTGAAGCTGCGTCACGGCTATGAGATAATAGCGTTGTATTCCAGCATGCAGACTGGACGTCTGTGCCAGAGGGTGTCTTATTACATCTTACAGTGTGTTGCATTAATGCATGAGTAAGGTTTGGTTCAAACCAATCAGCACGCTCTATTGTGCAACTTCATTAATATTCATTACTGTCATAGTGCTTAGACGACAGACACGCCACGTTGTGTTGGCAAAACAAGCGTGAAGTGTTGCTTTTATAGTTTGCTGCAGTGAAGTTTTGTTTTCATTTTCTCTCTGTGAGAGCTCAGCTGGAGTTACGTGTGGATTAACAGTGTACGTGACGCTCGACAACAATAACTTACGTGTCTAAGGAGGATTATTGTTTACCTGAGAGCTGTTCTCATCTGCAAACACTGAGATCCAGATTCGCTTGTAGTCTCCTCTTAATAAAGACGCGGCTCTAGTTGCTGGTGATTGTCCTGTCTCTACAGATTTGGTAAGTGAGCGACCAGTGCTCTTTGTTTATTCAGTTTGTTCGTATCGAAAAAACTATTGCACCGAGTGTAAACATGTTAGCACTACAACCAAACTTTACCCCCTTGTAGGATTTTCACCACATTTTGTGACCGGAATAACACACGCGGCTTTCTGACGCTACCTGTCGTGTGCATCTAAGTTTCCAGGAAATGCTGAGGGTTTTTTTTCTCTCATTCGCCGTGCGGTATCAAACATTGTATGAAAAATACATGCTTACAGCAGTTCCTCGAATCAAATATCTCGTTTGTCGCGAGGGACATGAGTGAATTCCCTGAATGAAAGAGCCAAACTGCAGTTAAAGTCCACCATTTAATAATTTGGCAAATAATTCGACTACAGATGTCCATGTAAACACAGTCCCTTTCTCCCCTGTGTGTGTGTGTGTGTTTTGACTCTGAAATTCAGCGCGCCCAAATAGACACTCCCACACCATGCCTCTTTTCTTTCTCCGACACTCCTCCCTAAACAGAGCTGGACACGCCCACTTTTCTGACTTTTTCCAAAGTAGAGGTGTGAAAACACCCTGCTGAAACGAGGGGGTTACATGGCCCTTTAATAATAAATCTAAATAAAATGCAGCGCTTCCCACCTCCAGTCGCAATGACTTCTCGGACTTCTAGAGTGAGATTGGTGCTCAAGTTTGCATAGTTGCGTTCTCGATATCAAGAACACATCCGGGAAGTTTCACGCGTCCTCTGTTCTAGCGGTCTTGAGTATTGGAACTGAACTTTGGCAGCTGATGATGACGTTACACAAGAACACGCAAGAGCGCTGAAGAACGCATATTGAGAAACAGCCTCGCACTCAAATGTACACTCACTTTATTAGGTACACCTGTTTAACTACTTAATAATGCTAAACATCTAAACAGCCAATCACATGACAGCAACTCAATGCATTTAGACGTGAAGACGTGGTCACGAGGATCTGCTGGAGTTCTGAAAGCATCAGATAGGTGATTTAAAGGTTCAAGAAACCCTCTAGTACTTTATTTATTTTGAGACTTTAACAGATTTGTGTGTTGAGCATCAGTTAAGACAATGTTAGCACCCGTTAGCTTTAATTGTGGGGAAAACTGGATATTTTTGAGCTTTTGTCAGCTAATTTCATCTTCCGGGTTTAAAATGATTTTTGGGTCGGATCAAAAACAGTGACGCTGCACAAAACTGCAAGTGCAAAGATGACTCATCGGTTTCTCATTATTACTCATGGCAGAGTTTTCTTATCCTATGAGAAGAGCCTGCTTCTTAATTATTCATGACTGCGCATGCTTTCCGAAGGCAAGGCAGACCTGCTAGTTCAGCATAGTATAGCTCCAACCAGCTCCAACTCAACCTGCTTAATAGTCTCTACTAGTAGTCATGAGCTAACATCTTGATTAGTTGGATCAGCTGTTTGATTAGGGTTGGAGCAAAACTGTGCAGAACAGCAGCCATCCAGGAATTTAGCTTTATACCTATGATCTAGAACAGTGTTTCTCAACCATGTTCCAGGAGGACCACCAGCTCTGCACATTTTCCATGTCTCTTTAACCAAACACACCTGATTCAGATCATCAGCTCATTAGCAGAGACTGAAAGACCTGTAATGGGTGTGACAGATAAAGGTGACATTCAAAACATGCAGTGTTGGTGGTCCTGGTGGAACATTGTTAAGAAACACTGATCAAACTGCAGTCAAACATATGTTGAAGTACAGATTCGCTGAAGCACGAATTTATTTCCAACAAGGCAGAGTGTTGCAAATGATTACTGGATACAACTCTGTAGATTAGAATCTCTGAACACACAACACATCAAACCTTGAAGCAGATGAGCTACAGCAGCGGAAGAAGAGCACACCAGTGACACTCCTGTTACAAAAATTAGACAATACTGAAAAACTTGCCTCATCCAGTGCAAGATTTGTATGATAGGATCAGAATTTGGCATAGCACAAAAACTTGAAGTACTCAAATGACCTCCAATCACCAGATCTCACTCTAATAGACTGCTGAATGGGAGTTTCTTATCATGGATGTCCGGATAACAAGTTTATAGCAACTAGCGATGCTAACATTTCAATATGGACCAAAATCTCTGAGCAATGTTGTTGAATTAATGCCACAAAATTATAGTAGTCCTGAAGATAAAAAGGCTGTCCAAACTGGTGATAGCAATGTGTATCTAATAAAGGGGACATTAAGTGTACACAAATATATTCAGCATGGAAAGTAATGTCTATTTCAATTGAAAGCAGGCATCAAAAATTCATTTATATGAAAGTCTATTCCAGTAATGTTCACCACAGACCTTTATTTTGCTCTGAAATCGAAAGCTGCTTTTCTAAAAACCCATTAGAAATTCTTGAGGGAACCCATGACTCCAAAAGCCAATTCTCCTGCAGTCTGCAAAACCAACCGGCTCAATATCTGCCAAATCACAACTAATTTGTACAATTCAACCACTGCATTTGGTTCAAAGACACTAAATGAGTTTTATGAAAAGAAAATGTCAAAATAGGAATGAAAGTTAGCAGAGAGAATTAATTTTAAACATCTTGGGTTTAATTTGATAACATCAACAGCAACAAACAATAAATAATACTCTTTAACAATCACATTTTTGAAGTTACTGTAACAAGTCACACCTAGTGGCAGAACAATGTAACGTCAACTGTAACAAAACATTTTAATGAAGTATTACTGCAATTTAAATCAAACGTCATTTATTGACATAAACATGTAAAAAAAAAAAAACAATATAAAGATACTAAGTAAATCAGGCATTATAATATAAACTCACTGGCCACTTTATTAAATACACCTTACTAGTAGTGGGTTGAACCCGCTTTTGACTTCAGAACTGCCTTAATCCTTTGTGGAAGATTCAACAAGGTAGTGGAACTATTCCTCAGAGATTTTGCTCCATGATGGCATCTTGCAGTTGCTGCCGATTTGTTAGCTGATTTGAATCTCCCGTTCCACTACATCCCATGCTTTATTGGATTGAGATCTTGTGACTGTGGAGGCCATTTGAGTAGAGTGAACTCATTGTCCTGTTCAAGAAACTAATCTGTGATGATTCGCGCTTTATGACATGGCACGTTATCCTGCTGGAAGTAGCCGTCAGAGATAAGTACACTGTGGTCAAAAAGGAATGGACATGTTCAACAACAATACTCAAGCAGGCTTGATGCTTAATTGGTTCTAATGGGCCCAAAGTGTGCCAAAAAAAATATCCCCCACACCATTACACCACCAGCAGCAGCCTGAACCGTTGATACAAGGCAGGATGGATCCATGCTTTCATGTGGTTGACGACAAATTCTGACCCTACCATGTGAGTGTCGCAGCAGAAATCGAGACTCATCAGAGCAGGCAATGTTTTTCCAATGCTCAATTGTCCAGTTATGAGCTTGTGTCTATTGTAGCCTCCGTTTCCTGTTCTTGCCTGACAGGAGTGGCACCTGGTGTGGTTTTCTGCTGCTGTAGCCTATCTGCCTCAAGGTTGGACATGTTGTGCATTCAGGGATGCTCTTCTGCATACCTCGGTTGTAACGAGTGATTATTTGAGTTACTGTTGCCTTCCTATCAGCTCGAACCAGTCTGGCCATTCTCCTTTGACCTCCTTTAGCATCAACAAGGCATTTGCCCCCCACAGAACTGCCTCTCACTGGATATTTTCTCTTTTTCTGACCATTCTCTGTAAATCCTAGAGGTAGTTTTGCTGGAAAATCCCAGTAGATCCACAGTTTCTGAAATACTCCGACCAGCCCGTCTGGCACCAACAACCATGCCACGTTCAAAGTCCCTTAAATCATCTGTCTTCCCCATTCTGATGCTCGGTTTGAACTGCAGCAGATCGTCTTGACCCTGCCTAAATTAATTGAGTTGCTATCATGTGATTGGCTGTTTAGAAATTTGCGGTAACAATCAGTTGGACAGGTGTACCTAATAAAGTGGCCGATGAGTGTATATCAAAGGTTTTTGCTGTGGATTAATAATACAATGTAAATAACCTGCTTATCTTTATCCTGCTCAGAGAAGTATAAAGTACTAGAGAGCCAGACTTAAGTAAAAATACAAGTGCTCTATAAAAAAGTGACTTGAGTAGAAGTTGAAGTGCTCCTTAAGCACCATACTTAAGTGGAAGTAATAAAGTATTCAACATTTTCTGTACTTGAGTATTGCAAGTAGTTTATTTCAAAATTAACTACGCAAGTACTGAAAGTAAAAGTACAAGTGTTGTGTAATATAGTTATTAAAGAAAGCAGTCAAAAGACATCATATTGTTTTGTTTATTTTAAATGTCTTTTATTTGGGGCACGCAATTAAGCAAAATTTATTTGGGGCTCGCGCTTGAATCACAGATCTGACTGATTAAAACAGCTTTAACACGCTCCTTTCAAAGTTGTGTCACAAAATCACTCCGTAATCCACTCAAAACGATATTGAAACTCATTTTCGGATCGCAAATTACCGGTTGTAAACACTGTAAACGAAATTCTAAACATTCTACCGGAAGACGCTGGCCACTATGACGCCCTCCATGCAGCTGCCAAGAAAAAGGTCTATAATTGTACCGAGTAGGGGTGTGAATCTACACTGGTCTCACGGTTTGGTTCGGTTCCGATTATCATGCCATCGATTTGGTTCAATTCGATATCTCAGTGCATTGACGATGCTTTCCATTCATAATTAGATTTTTCCTTCACCACACAATCATTTTTTTTATCAAAATATATATAAATATATTTATATATTATTTGTAATACAAATTTGTTCTTTAATACAGCAGTAAGATATATGAACTGCACCCTTCCTTTATCCTGCTGCTCAAAGAAAACACTCTTTCTTGAATGTGTCAAACAAAACTCCAACACATGCACAGAAGACAGCATGAGCATTTATAGCAAATAAACTCATGTAAATATTATAATCCTGCTTGCTTTTTGAGTGCTGACAGACGAGGTCTTACACCCCTGTAATTGGTTACTGTCTCCACCTGCTCAACAGAAAGGCCTGTGAACGGCTTTAGAAATGAAAGCACTGTTCACCGATGGCGGGAAGAACAGCCGCAGTTACAGTCTGTATGTGCATATAACGCGGTTATTACAGGTAATCCATAATAGACACTGGAGAAAACTCACACCTCAGGCACACTCGTGTCTGGATCCAAAAGTATCGCTTTAACAGCCAAGAGGAGAGGAAAAGTTACCTCACAAACAGGCCAGCGGGTCAAAAGTCCAAAGTGAGAGAGAGATAAAGATGGAGTTTTACAGCATTTCTCCATAGTAGGGATGTAACGGTATTGTAAATACCGTCATACCGCAATATTATTTTTTTTCGATATTACCGAAGTCGCATGACTCGGTAAAACTATAGGTCTTCTGAGAAAATTTGCTCAGGCGAATGAAGCGAACGGGAGGTAGCGAAAACTACAATTCCCATCAGCCCATGCTTGACCATCATCCCTTGCGGTCTGTTGTCGCTACAGATCCAGTAATGCGGAAATGGAGTGTGCTGCTAGAAGCGGGGATGAAAAAGAGCTGGAAAACTCTAAAGCGGGTGTTGTCGCCGCGCGCGTACTGAATAGCGGTGTTGTCGCGCGAGTTCTTATCAGCGGTGTTGTCGCGCGCGTACTGAATAGCGGTGTTGTCGCGCGAGTTCTTATCAGCTGTGTTGTCGCGCGCGTACTGAATAGCGGTGTTGTCGCGCGAGTTCTTATCAGCTGTGTTGTCGCGCGAGTTCTTATCAGCTGTGTTGTCGCGCGGGTTCTTATCAGCTGTGTTGTCGCGCGAGTTTTTATCAGCTGTGTTGTCGCGCGCGTACTGAATAGCGGTGTTGTCGCGCGAGTTCTTATCAGCTGTGTTGTCGCGCGAGTTCTTATCAGCTGTGTTGTCGCGCGGGTTCTTATCAGCTGTGTTGTCGCGCGAGTTCTTATCAGCTGTGTTGTCGCGCGCGTACTGAATAGCGGTGTTGTCGCGCGAGTTCTTATCAGCTGTGTTGTCGCGCGAGTTCTTATCAGCTGTGTTGTCGCGCGGGTTCTTATCAGCTGTGTTGTCGCGCAAGTTCTTATCAGCTGTGTTGTCGCGCGCGTACTGAATAGCGGTGTTGTCGCGCGAGTTCTTATCAGCTGTGTTGTCGCGCGCGTACTGAATAGCGGTGTTGTTGCGCGAGTTCTTATCAGCTGTGTTGTCGCGCGAGTTCTTATCAGCTGTGTTGTCGCGCGAGTTCTTATCAGCTGTGTTGTCGCGCGCGTACTGAATAGCGGTGTTGTCGCGCGCGTACTAAATAGCGGTGTTGTCAGCACACTGTTCAGATTGATGCAGACATCATGAGACCGCTATCTTACTCATGGTTTGTCCTCTCAAGTGGGGGAAAGACAATGCACAACGTTACCCACTGCTGTCAACCTGGGCCAAGTCATATCTCTCTTGTCCCAGAAACCTCAGTCCCAAATGAGAGGGTTTTTTCTGTTGCAGGGGACATTGTGAAAACCCAGAGATACCAGCTTTTACCAGATTATATTTATATGATAATTTTCCTTTAAACCCATCTCTATCTAAGTGAGTGAGTGATTAAATGTTGAATGTGATGAGTTTTCAACAATACTAAATTGAAACTTTATTTTTTTTACATGGTTTAATATTTTTTTGTTATTAAAATTGAAGTTCCTGTTTCAAAGCTTACAGATAGATGGCTAATTTGTATGTCATTGACACTTTTGGCACTTTTTTTGGAGTATTTTCATAAGTTTTGTTTTTTTCCTGTAAATGATTCAATAAATACCGTACCGTGACATTCATACCGAGGTATTACTGTACCGTGAAATTCTGATACCGTTACATCCCTACTCCATAGTAGTGAAATAGCGGCTCATGTGCTGTGCTTTTTTGCAGTTTCTAAACAACTACATTCTTGCCTATGTTATGCGTTGGGTGTTTCTACAGATACAGTATTTTTCAATTAAATGTGGAGTTTAGTCATTTGCTTGGCTCTTGCTGTGGGTAGAGTGATGCACACCGGTAAAAAGGCTGGAAGAGTTTTGATACTGGCAGAATATCACAAAAAAACTGTTGTATAAATGTGTATCATTGTTACATTTTGCTAGATATTTTAACTGATACTAATACTACATTTGGCAAAAAAAAAATGTGTAAAGGGTTACTGAAAAAAAGTGACTGATGGTATTTCATAGCATGAGCTGGTTGTGCGTTGCTTTAGGGTTTGGTTTGTGTGTGTTGTAGGTGTATCCTCTGTGGCTGTGTCCATTCCTTTTGCCCAACCAGCCAGGAATGGTGCATCCTAAAGGAGATGAAGATGAACTGTATGTTGATATCGGAGCATATGGAGAACCTAAGGTCAAACACTTTGAGGCCACATCATCCACACGGCAGCTGGAGAAGTTTGTCAGAGACGTTCACGGGTCAGTTTTCACTCTTTTCCATTTGGTTAGATGAACAATGTTAAAAACACCATACATTTACATGCATTTTATTTCACTGGAATTACACAGATATACCTAAATATACCAGTTCCAGCTGAAATGAACAGTTATTTTAATTAGCTGAGTTTAAGAAAACCATGATTATATCTGAATTTATTTAACGACAGAGTCACAATTTAATCATTAATCACTTGTTTGGTCATTTTTATTTTCTCGTTGTATTAAAATTGTACCAAACTGACTTTTTATTTATTTATTTATTTATTTTTGTCAGATTTGTAATAACCCTTCATTTTAATTACTGTTACGAAAAACACTGCTGTAATACTTAACAACCAGCTTTTAAAATCCAGTTAATTTGTTTTAAATTCTTTAGAAGTATACAATATTCTAGTATTTCCTTCACAGCAATAACACAACACCTCCTTTTGTAGATTCCAGATGTTGTATGCTGATGTATACATGGAACGCAAGGAATTCTGGGAGATGTTTGACGGCACTTTGTATCACAAACTCAGAGAGGAGCTCGGCTGTAAAGATGCATTCCCTGAAGTCTTTGACAAAATCTGCAAGTCTGCAAGACATTGAATCCAAATGAACCTGAGACATGGCCAAAACAATAAACAAAACATATGATATATTGCTGACAACATTGGGGTCAGACACACTTAAAACATAGATACTCTTATTCACAATGGAGCACCAGCAAATGTGACAATATTTTATAAAAATAATTTTTATTCCTTTATTTTTGGGCCCTTTTTATTTTTTACGGTTTAAACACTATTCATATAAACAATAAATATTGCTTAAAGGATTTTGAATATATATATATATATATATATATATATATATATATATATATATATATATGTATGTATGTATGTATATATGTATGTATATATATACACACACACACACACACACACACACACACAGTTGAAGTCAGAATTATTAGCACCCTTTTGATTTTTATTTTCTTTTTTAAAATTTTTCCCAAATTATGTTTAACATAGCAATGACATTTTTACAGTATGTCTGATAATATTTTTTCTTCTGGAGAAAGTCCTATTTGTTTTATTTCGGCTAGAATAAAAGTAGTTATTAATTTTTAAAAAAACAAAATTATTAGCCCCTTTAAGCTAATTTGTTTTTTTTTCGATAGTCTACAGAACAAACCATCATCATACAATAACTTGCCAAATTACCCTAACCTGCCTAGTTAACCTAATTAACCTAGTTCAGCCTTTAAATGTCACTTTAAGCTGTATAGAAGTGTCTTGAAAAATATCAAGTAAAATAGTATCTACTGTCATCATGACAAAGACAAAATAAATCTGTTATTAGAAATAAGTTTTTAAAACTATTATGCTTAGAAATGTGCTGAAACAATCTTCCCTCTATTAAACAGAAATTGGGGAAAAAAATAAACAGGGGCACTAATAATACAGGGGGGCTAATAATTCTCACTTCAACTGTGTGTGTGTATATATATATATATATATATATATATATATATATATATATATATATATATATATATATATATATATATATATATATATAAAAACATATATATATAAACATGTAGTATGAGGAACTACTTCCACCATTCATTCACATCTGCAGCTGACGTCAGAACAGCAGAAGCTGTCACTACTTCAACGTCATTTTAGAGCTAATGTTTGAATGATTCTCTAGCATAATGTCTAAAGTGATGACTAAACAGGTTTTGCTCACATTTTAGGATTATAAGGCTGAACGTGACATGAAATGCCATCAGTCTACAGAGTTATCTCTTTACAGTATTACAGTCTATTACAGTCTACAGTATTTCTCTGTTGCAATCGGATATCACAACAAATTACCCCTGATAAAAGCAGCGCAATCACTACCAGATTGCTGTTGTGCTTGCGATAAGGAAAAATGCTAAACACATGCAGGCATTTCTTCTTTCTTTCTGCCATAACAGAACACATTCCTGATATGCGAGTCACATTTTACACTCAATACACTACAATTATATGGTATGAATACAGCACTACGGCATACAAAAGATAGAGATCGACTTAGAATATCACTTACCAGTTTAATAATGATTTGATCAGCTTTAGTTAGAAATTATGCTGTTTTAGCTGGTAAGGGCTTATTATGCGGTCTCTGTTGCCATCTTGTGAATGGACAACGTCTTTGGTCTGCTCAATGACAGACTAATGGCCACCGATGCGCTTTCTCTCCAAAATTATAAATATTTTAAATATTCTTGACTAAAAAAGCCTTAAAAAAACAAGCCTCAAAAGTACATCAGGATGTCCAACAGCAGCAATATCTGTCAAACTGTAGAGTGTCCTCTGCTTGTTGCTGTATGTGGGCGGAGTTATAACAAAGTCTCTTTATGGCAAGTCATTTCACTCAGCAGCCATCTTTGAAGCAACTCTCGCGCAGTATGCTCGGGCATTCTGTTTTAAATCAGTGGTCCCCAATCCCCGGGCCGCGGACTGGTACCGGTCCGTGGATCAATCAGTACCGTGCCGCACAAGAATTAATTATCTTTAAGTTGGCAGATAAAGTAGCTGCATTTAAAAATTGCCGGTAATTTTTCGGAAAGGTTTGTATGTGTGAAAGGGGCTTTTGTCTACCATTACCACCAGATGTTACCATCACGTTGCAAAGAAACAAGCTTGGGGCTCTCATTGATTTAGAGTTACAGACAGTTTTTGATGTTATAATATGTTATATTGTTGGAGCAAGAAGAGTTTCAAAGATGGACGCTGAGTGAAATGATTTGCCTTAAAGGGACTTTGGTAATACACAAGGGTGAAGTGTGAAGAGACTGGTCAAGTGCTGTTACAGGAAGAATATCGCACAGCTATCAACCAATCACATTCAAGAACCAGACAGAACTTTAGTATGGATAGATATATAGATAGATAGATAGATAGATAGATAGATAGATAGATAGATAGATAGATAGATAGATAGATAGATAGATAGATAGATAGATAGATAGATAGATAGATAGACAGACAGACAGACAGACAGACAGACAGACTATATATATATATATATATATATATATATATATATATATATATATATATATATATATATATATATATATATATATATAGGTATGCTCAGACTAATGAGCTTTTAAGGATGCTGTTTTTAAAGTGTATTTGAGATCCAATCTATTTTCCTACTTTGTGAATGTTGACTATTTTTCACTAGATGTCTTATCAATATCTGACATGTCTAAGCTGTTGAAAATGATCATTTAAGAGTTTCTTAAAACTCTTCAATAAGCCTATAGTGCAAATTGTGAATGTATCATGTTTATGTTTTGTTTTTTGACTCGTAACATACTATTTTTTGCATATTTGTGCAAACTTATGTCATTTGTACAGGAAATAGTGTTATATTTTACTCCTATAAAAAAATTAAGATATGTTTGCCCTTCTGAACATGTTTCAGCCCTTTTATACTTCCCAACATGCCCATTAAAATCAATATTTAAACTCTTCTACTGTCAATAATAGTGAATCTGGCTTTGCTCATCATCAAAAGGTTCAGTGGACTCTAATAATTGATCTTTTGGCATGTTTTCTGGTTTTGATGGCAGCGCTTAATGGGTGAGAGTGGATTTATGGAGCTTATAGACAACAATCATCCATTTGGCCAAAGTGAACATTAATGGCTCTCTCTGTAACATGATACGGGACATTATGATAATACCTTGTTCAGCAGTCAACTCTGTGCTGTAATAATTGACATCTGTGCCTCATTTTTCTCTTTCAAGCTACATTATTAATATGCCCAACCAATCTTCCTTACAAATCTTCATTAATATCTATTATAAGACATCCAAATCTACATAAATAATGTAGAAGGCTTTTAAAGATAAAGCATTTTCCTCTTTTTTTTCTTTTTTTTTTTTTTTTTGTTTAAATACAAGCTTTTTTGTGAGTATTACTGTCAATTTTTTGGACTCCCTGAATTTCCATCAATGTCTCCCTCTAGTGACCGAATTATGCCTTGATTTGTTTGTAAAAACACGTAGAAAACTTTACATAGCTGGTGTGTATATTGAAACCATTCTATGGCCCTGTATTTGTTTTTTAAGTTAAGCAGATAATACTATAATTCAGTGTAGGGATAGCCTTAATACTTGTCTCTGAAACTGGAGGTATATGTATCAATACATTAACAGGGTGTCTGTAAGATCTTAAAATATTTTAAATCTTAACATCTAAATTTTAGGCCTTAAAAGGTTTTAAATTTACTGAAGTACTGTGTTGTAGGTCATACATCATTTTTCAACAAGTCTTAATTTTCCTTTGTTCATGTATTGCTACGCAGTCTGGCCAAGGCCCTTACAATTAGCATCAATCCATCTCAATATAACTTAAAATCTTTGATTTAAAAAGGTCATTTTTAACTCCTGTTAACCATAATGACTTAATTATTTTCCTTAGAATAACTTTTGTTTAAAAAAGTACCCCATGTATTTACTGCTGTGGACACCGAGCTGGACAGATTGTTGTGAGTATATAGTTTATTAAAGTTTTTTTTTTTTTAACTTTTAAAACATTTTTTTTTAAGAATGTTTATGTTGGGGGAAAAAAAACGTGTATGGATTCAAGTAGATTTGCTTGTTTTACCCAATATTTAAAATATTTTGCTAAGAAATATCTCAAATATTTTACCTCTGGGGTATTTGAAAAAATCCTTAGTGTTTAGTCCTTTAGGAGTATAAATTTGATTTATTATGGTCTTGAAAATTTCTTAAATAGTCTTAAATTTAACTTGCAGAAACCTCGAATAAACATTTCATTGCAATGACACTTGATAAGTATGGAGTATGATGTCATTGCAATAAAATGTGACCCTGGACACTAAAACCAGTCCTAAAGTTTAATTTTATGTACACACCATCTGAAATATAATAATCTTTCTATTTATTAATGGTGTGTTAGCACAGTATTTGGCTGAGATACAAAAAAAAAAAAAAGAAAGAAGGGGAAAAAAAAGGGTTGCTTAGGAAATATTGCCTTTTAAGTTGTCCAAATTAAGTTCAGACTTAATGCTCATTACTAATCAAAAACTTAGCTTGGACACATGGATTGATTCATTTTCGAAAACTGAGAAATTTGTACTGGGGACTACTACTTGCAGTTTTGTTTCATTTATAATTTTCACAAATCCTTTAGAGGCCGCCGTGTACATAATCTATACAGTCTCAAATGCGTTATGCTGCGGTCACACATGACTTTTCTTCCCATAAGCTGCATCCCAAATCGCATATGCACTATTTTACTTACGTAAGTAGTGCGTTCACACTGAAAACTCTAAAAATAATAAGTGCAATTTAATTACCCGGATGATGCACACATTCAGCCTGTAGAATGAAGTGTATAATGATGGACACTTCACACACTCAACGACCGCAGGTTTTCTTACGTAGTGGAAGGGGCGGAGCTATCGGACTCACATGTTGGATAACTTTATTTATTTTGGATGGTGAAAGCAAAATTCATAGCGCCTCCCGATGGTGAATGCGGTAATAATCAAGGCAGGTATTATTTGATAATTCGGTCGTTTATTTCACTGATTTGTCAACAGTCAAACGTCATCAGGGAAACGGTTTGAATTTCCGCTTAGTAAAAAACCATTAGTGTGCCATTTGGGACGACACTACATACATATACTATGCTGTTGAGTGTGTAAGTGCAGTAGTACATAGTGC